TTTATTTATTTATTTATTTTATTTAATCTATTTACTTATATAAATATATATATTTATATATAATAAATAATAAATAATATATATTATTTATTAACCCTTATGTTATGCCTATACACTGCACCAACAAACATCTCTATTGATGGATTGTCCTCTTAGTTGCATAAACCCTAAACCCTAAACCCTAAACCCTAAACCCTTTTGTTGTTGTTGTAGACAGTAGCTGCCTAGGGTTTATGCTGCATGCAAAAGAATAAGAAAATGTTATTTATATAAACCTCTTCTCCTTTTATACTATTTAATAAATAAAATATATGCATGCATGCATGCATATATTATTATTATTATTATTTACATGCATGCATGCATTATTAGCTGCCTATACACCCCATTGTTGTGCTGCTCTAAGGAGGGGAGGGAAAGAAGAAGTTTGTTGCTGTTTATCCCCATAAATAGAGAAATAAATTAATTATAATTATAATTAAATAAATAAATTAAATTAAATATAAAATAAATAATTATTTCCTCCTTTTATTTGCTGCTACTGCAGCAGCAGCAGCAGCAGCAGCAAACAAACAGACAGATGGTGGGGCTGCGTGCAACCCCACCACCACCATTGGGGTGTATGTACACCTCAATTGCATGCAACAGCAAATTACTTTTTTTTTGTTTTTATTTAATTAGTAATAAAATATAATTAAAATATTATTTAGCTGTTAATAACTCTGCAACACTGCTGCAGCAGCAGCAGCAGCAACAGCAGCAGTAGCATTAGCAGCAGAGCTGCTAACGGCAGCAGTTGTTGTTGCTGAGAGGTTCACTGTCAGCAGCAGCAGCAGCTGCAGCGTCTCCAGCAGTATCAACAGCAGCAGCAAGAGCAGCAAAGGGACCAGCGGTAACAACAGCAAAAGCAGCAGCAGCAGCAGCAACAGCAGCAGCGGCAGCAGCAGCACCAGTGGTCCCTTTGTCTTCTAAGGAGGAAGTGTTTGACCAATCAACTGCAGCAGCAGGAAGATGAGTGCAGCACATGCAGCAGCAGCAAGGGCTGCTGCTGCTGTTGCTGCTGCATCTAAAGCGGCTTCTACATCTTTCCCTGCTGCAGCAACAGCAGCAAAAGCAGCAACAGCAACCACACCAGCAGCAGAACCGAATGAGGCCGGAGGAGCGTCAGCAGAAACACAAGCAGCAGCTGCAGCAGAAACAGCAACAGCAGCAGCAGCAGCAGCAGCAGCAGCACCAGCAGCATATTCTGCTAGTTCCGCCTCTACAATAAAGCGTGCTGCTCTCTCCGCCTTGAGGTCAGCAGAAGCTTCGCCCGCTAAACGCATCCACCTGGACAAGCAGCAGCAGCAGCAGGAGCTGCAGCAGCAGCAGCAGCACCAGCTGCAGCAGCAGCAGCAGCAGCAGCAGCAGCAGGAATCAGCTGTATTGCGATGTGAAACAACACCATTGAGGACATCGCGACATGAGCCAGCAGCAGCAGCAGCAGCAACAGCAGGAGTAGCAGCAGCAGCAGCAGCAACAGCAGCCGCTGCAGCTGCAGCAGCAGCAGCAGCAGCAGATGCTGCATCCCCAATAGGATCTCCATTCCCCCCTCGTCGTCTGCAGCAGCAGCAGCAGCAGACATCTGTAGCAGCAGTATGCCGTGCTGCTGCTGCAACCCCTTGCCGTACCCCTACAACCACGCACATCAACAGAACCAGCAGCAGCAGCAGCAGCAGCAGCAGCAGTAGCAGCAGCAGCAGCAGCAGTATGCATGCAGTCCCAATTCCTTTTAGGGAAGGATATAAGAAAATAATAGAGGTAGGGGGTATACTAAGAGTTCCTTCTTTTGCTGCTTTGTTTGCTGCTGTTGGTGATTTATTAACTCCTTTATCCTTGCTGCAGGTAGTAGGTGCAGCAGGAAGCGGCAAGACATTCTTGCTGCTGCTGCTGCTGCAGTATAGTCATGTATCTTATGGTTATGTTGATGCTGCTGCTGCTGCTGCTGTTGATGGAGCAGCAGGAAGACAGCTCATGTATTTGCTGCTGCTGCGCTCTCTTGCTGCTTCCTTAAGGGAGGAAGCAGATAATTGCTGCGAGCCCTTATTCAAGCTGCAGCAGCAGCTGCAGCAGCAGAAGCAGCAGCAAAAGAAGCAGAAGCAGCAGCAGCAGCAGCAGCAACAGCAGCAACAGCAGCAGCAGCAGCAGGAAGAGAGGGAAGAGCAGCAAGAGGAAGAGGAAGAGGTAGAGGAAGAAGAGGATGGAGATGATGCAAGAGGGAAGCTGCTGCAGCAGCTGCATGCACTGCAGCAGCAGCAGAAGTTGCTGCAGCAGGAATGCAGCAAAGCAGCAAAAGCAAGAGTAGCAGCACCTGATGGTTTTATAGAGATATTAGGCCGTTTGCTGCTGCTGTCTGCTGCTGCGCTGCAGTCAGCAGCAGAAGCAGCAGCAGCAGTAGCAGGAATAAAAGATAAAGAATTAGTTAATGATAAAATAAGAGCAGCAGCAGCAGCAGCAGCAAAAGAAGCAGCAGCAAGAAAAGCAAGAAGTGTTATATTAATGATTGATGGTACAGAGCTGCTGCTGCTGCTGCTGCCTGAGTTGCTGCAGGCGCTGCTGCGGCTACCTGAGCTGCTGTATGGCGAATCAGAGGCTGTAGCTCCCCTTAACAGCAGCAGCAGCAGCAGCAGCAGCAGCAGGAGCAGCAGGAGCAGCAGGAGCATGAACAGCAGCAGCAGCAACAGCAGCAGCAGCAGGGGTATATGCGTCTTATTAGTAGGCAGACGCCTACTTGCTGCTGAGGTACTTGATGGTCTCCCTCCTCCTGCTGCTGTACGTTTTGCTGCTTATAATCGTGATGCTGCTGCCTTCGTGCTGCAGCACAACTTTTTGCTGCTGGGGTTGCCGCTGCTGCAGGCAGCATTTTATAATTCTCCCCCTAATTTCCCTTTTTCTTTATATATATCTCCTCCTGCTGCTGCTGCTGCTGCTGCAGCAGCAGATGCTGCAGCAGCAGCAGAAGCAGCAGCACAAGATGCAGCAACAACAGTACAACAAATATCCTCATCCTTCTCCTCCTCCTCCTCAGCAATAAAAACAGCAACAGCAGCAGCAGCAACAACAGCAGCAGCAACAGCAGCAGCAGAAGCAGAAGCAGCAACTGCAGCAGGAGAAGAGTATGGTGTATATATAATAAATAAAGGAGAAAAAAAAGAAGAAAAAAAAATAAATATAATTAATTATTGGTATAAATTCTGTGCAGATATTTGCCGCTGCTGCTATCTGCATGCATGCAGCGATTTCTTACATATAAAGTTCTTATGTAGGGAGTTATGGGGCCAGGGGCTGCAGCAGCTGCTGCAGCAGCAACAGCAGCAGCAGCAGCAGCAGCAGCAGCAGCTGAATACATTAGATCTATTAAATGAACAATTAAGGAGTAGTGTTGCTGCTGCTGCTGCTCATCCTTATTCACGCTTGCTGCCTCATCTAGTAGATTGCCGTGTTACTGCAGCAGCAGCAGCAAGCTTCTGGGGGGGGCAGCTTGCTGCAGCAGACACAGCAGCAAGACTGCTGCAGCTGCCTAGACTGTCCCTGCTGCTGCTTGTTGCTGCTCTTGTTGCTGCATGTACACCACAAAGGGCAGATAAGAGGAAACTGCAGCAAGCATACAGCAGCAGCAGATTGCTGCAACGTAGTCGCAGCAGCAGCAGCAGCAGCAGCAGACCAAGAAAAACAACACCACAGCAGCAGCAGCAGCAGCTGCTGCTGCTAAATGGAGACACTATACTAGCTAAGGCCCCTTCCTCCTTTACTCTTATTAGATGGCTTGCTGTTGCTGAGCTGCTGCAGCAGCAGCCGCTAACCCTTGAGTGTCCCTCCTTGCTGCAGCACATAAGTAGTTTGCTGCGGTTAGGCTTAGTAGGTGTATATGCAGCACCATTGCTGCTGCAGCAGAAAGCAGCAGCAGCAGCAGCAGCAGCAGGTGCAGGTGGTGCAGCAGCAGCAGCAACAGGAGGACTTGCATGGGTACATAGTGCAGGATGGTTAGTAGATTGTATGCGTGAGGCACGTAGACTTCCTGCTGCTGCAGCAGCAGCAGCAGCAAGAGCAGCAGCAGCAGGAGGCAGCGTAACAGGGCGCAGCACGGACCTCCTTAATCCAGCAGCAAAGTTGCTGCTGCTGGCGGATACATCTCTTGTATTTGCTGCAGCAAAAAGTCTTAAAATTAATCTACATGAATTATTATAACTATTTATTTATTTATTTATTCTTTTTTTTTATTTAATTAATTAATTAATTAATTAATTAATTTATTTATTTATTTATTTTATTTATTTATTTTTCCCCCTTTTTTTTGCCATCTAATTCACTAAGTAGCCAAACCCTAAACCCTCATAAACCCTCATAAACCCTAAACCCTAAACCCTTTTTTTTTTATTAATAAAATAAATAAATATAAATAAATAAATAAATAAATAAATAAGTAAATAAATAAATAAACTAAATAAATAAATAAATAAATGAATAAATTATTTATATAAATAAAATAAATAAATTTTTTTTTTTTTTATTAAAAAAGAAAAACAAAAAAAATTAGACAAATAATCCCCTATCTAACACTCATTGTCTGGGGATTTTCTTGCTGCTGCTGCTGCTGCTGCTGCTGCTGCTGTTGTTGTTGCTGTTATTGCTGCTGCTGCTGCTACATCGGCACCAGCACAAAAGCTACGTTGCTGTTGCTGACAATGCTGCTGCTGCTGCTGCTGCTGCTGCTGCTGCTGCTGCTGCTGCTGCTGCTAGAAAATATATCCTTTACTAAAACTGCATTTATTTGCTTTATTAGCTAATTAGCATTTATTGCTGCTGCTGTTGCTGCTGTTGCTGCTGTTGCTGCTGCTGCTGTTGTTGTTGTTGTTGCTGTTGCTGCTGCTGTTGCTGCTGCAATAAGAGTTCCAGCTTCTATTGCGCTGGTGTAGCAGATGCCTTTGTTGCTGCTACTACTCTGCAGCAGCTGCAGCGCCCTACTGCTTGCTACTGCTACTGCTGCTGCTGCTGCTGCTGCTGCTGCTGCTGTGTGGCCGAGGTGTTGCAGAGGAGTTAACAGACACGACGCTGTTGCTGCAGCTTTTCCTGCTGCTGCTGCTGACGCCTGCAGCAGCAGCAGCACAACAGCAGCAAAAACAAATCCCCCATAGAACTACAGAACCTATACATCCCCCCCTACAACAACACCTGCTGCTGCTGCTGCTGCTGCTGCTGCTGCTGCTGCTGCACTTACCTTTTCTCTTAATAGAGAAGCTCCCCCTTATCTTGAAGTCTGCTGCTGCACTCTCCTCTCTTGCTCTCCTACTAGATAGGGCCTGCAGCAGGGGGGACTGCATAAGAGCAGCAATATGAGGGTTGCTGCTGCTGCTGCTGCTGCTGCTGCTGTTTGTTTTAGGTTTTCCTGATGTACTATGAGCCCTTACTAGCCTACGCATTGCTGCAGCAGCAACGTTGCTGCTGCGGTTGCTGCTGATGCTGCGTGCTGCTAGTGCTGCAGCACTACCACCACATAAGCTTCTGCTGCTGTTGCTGTTGCTGCAGCTACCTGCAACAGCAGCAGCAGCACCTTCACGTAGAGCTTGTCTATGCTGCTGTTTCCTTCTTTGCTTCTGCTGCTGCTGCTGCTGCAGCAGCAGCGCAGCAGCCTCCCTCCCTACAGGCTCAGGCATCTTATAGCTAATAACATCCGCATGCAGAGGAGGAACATCACCATGAACAGCAGCAGCAATACACGGTGTTGCTGCTCCTATCTGCAGCAGCAAAGGGGTACTCAATAAAGAACCTGCAGCAGCAACAGCAACAGCAGCAGCAGCAGCAGCAGCAGCAGCAGAGAATAAGGATACATATATAAATGGTAAAATAAGACAGTAAAAACGCACAGACACACAAGAAAGCAGCAGCAGAAACAGCAACAGCAGCAGCAGCAACACCACCACCACAAACAGCAGCAGCAGCAGCAGCAGCAGCAGCAGCAGCAGGACGTACCCCATGTAAGTTGCTGGGTATTAGGCTCATTAGGTTGTTTATTAGGCAAATTAATAGGCAAAGAAGTTAAGGAAAATCCTATGGGCTTTTCTCCTGGTAGCTGAATTGCTGCTGCTGCTGCTGCTGCTGCTCCTCCTCCTCCTCCTGGTGCTGCTGCTCCTCCTCCTTGCTGCTGCAGCAGCAGCTGCTGCTGCTGCTGAAGTTGATGGGGAGGAGGAGGCCTAAATTCCCCGTGCTGCACCATCTGGTGCATCTTGCTGCTGTCTAGGTTTAGGTGCTGCGCACGACGCCGCTGCAGCTGCTGCTGCAGCTGCTGCTGCTGCAGTGCCCGCTGCATAGTAGTAAAACGTGTACACTCCGAGCGTATCTCCCCCCTGCAGCAGCAACAGCAACAGCAGCAGCAACAGCAGCAGCAACAGCAACAGCAGCACACACAGACAATAAGGTAGATAAATCTTCTCTCCTGCTGCAGCAGCAGTTCTACTCGTGTATTGCATGCATTGCTGCTGCTACTCCTGCTACTACTACTACCACTCCTGCTGCTGCACTTGCTGCTGCTGCTGCTGCTGGTGCTGCACTTGCTGCTGCTGCATACATACCTTGGCATAAAGTTACGGGGATCGTCATCTGCATCGATCCCCTTAAAGAAAAGACGCGTTGCTCCTGGATGGAAGCCAACAGCAGGACCAGCAGCAGCAGATCTACCTGCAACAGTTTGCTGCTGCAGCAGCAGCTGCTTTTTATTATGCTGCTGCTGCTGCTGCCATAATTGCATGCGTTTTTCTTGCTGCTGCTGCTGCTGCTGATCTAATAAACGTTGTGCGCTGTCTTGATCCTCAGAGATAAATAGATCAAAGAATTCATCTATACCTATTTCTTTCTTTTTTTTTTGCTGCTGCTGCTGCTGCTGCTGCTGTTGCTGCTGCTGCTGGCGGTTGTGCTGCAGACGACGGGTTTCTTCATCCAGCTGCTGCAGCTGCTGCTCTGCTAACTTCTGCTGCTGCTGCTGCAGTTGCTGCTGTCTCTCTAACTCTTCTGCATCCAATAGACCACTAGCCTCACCATCCTCTGAATCACTGCTGCTGTTGCTGCTGCTGCTGCTGCTGCTGCTGCTGCAGTTGCTGCATGCATCTACATCTATTACGTCGTGCTGCAGCAACTCTCTTAGCTCGGGCTTAACTTCCTTCATCAGTACTACTGGCTCATCATCGTCCTCATTGTCTGACCCTTGCTGCTGCTGCTGCTGCTGCTGCTGCTGCTGCTTACGTTTCCTCTGTGGCTGCTGCTGCATATCTTGCTCCTGCTCCTGCTGCTGCTCCTGCTGCTGCTGCTGCTGCTCATAAGACATGTCATCTCCTCTCCTCCTTTTGGTGATTTCTCTGTCTTCTGCTGCACTTATAAGTTCAGGAGTCTCCTGCAGCAGCAGCAAATGCTGCTGCAGCAGCTGCTGTTGCTGTTGCTGCTGCTGCTGCTGTTGCTGTTGCTGCTGCGGCAGCAGACACTGCCTCCTAGCAGGATTAAGATGTTCAGGTGTAGCATTAGCAAGGGAATTAATTTGTTGATTAATAATAAATATTTTATTATTATCTCCTTTTGCTGCTGCTGCTAGCAGCTGCTGCAGCAGCCGCAGCAGCGGGAGATCTGGATAGTATTGTCTCTCTACTGCAGCAGCAAGTGCTGCTTCCCATGTTGCTTCCTTTAATACTATTTTCTTCTTCCTCTTGCTGCTGCTGCTGCTGCTGCTGTTACCTGCTGCTGCTGCTGCTGCTGCTGCTGTTGTGCCATTTATTAAGGATAATTGGCTGCTGTGTAAGGAAGATATTGCTGCTGCTGCTTCCTCTGCTGCTGCTGCTGCTTGTCTTGCTGCTCTTAATACACAACCAGGAGCTAACACTCCTTCCTCATTAGCTTTTGCTGCTAATCTTATGCTGCTGCTGCTGCTGTTGCTGTTCCTGTTGTTGTTGTTGCTGCTGCTGCTAGGGGAGATTTGCTGCTGCTGAGGGTCCCATCCTGTTCCTGCTAATTCAGGATGTTTACGTCTTCTTGCTGCTGCTGCTGCTGCTGCTGCACTGCCGCAGCGACGCATAAATTTACCAACACTCATATAATTACCACTAGCAGCAGCAGCAGCAGCAGGACCAGCAGCAGGAGCAGCAGCTGCTGCTGCATCAGCTCCTGTTGCTGCCGAAGCATCCCCTCCTGTGGAGGAAGCATCAGTGTTCGCTGTTGCTGCTGCAGCAGTTCCTGCTGCTGCTGCTGTTGCTGCTGCTGTTGCTGCTGTTGCTGCAGCGTCCGACGTTGCTGCGGCAGTTGCATTTTCGCGTTCTACTATGAGGCCTCTATTTCCTTCTGCTGCAGTTGCTGCAGTTGCTGCAGTTGCTGCTGCTGCTGCTGCCGCTGCTGCTGTTGCTGTTGCTGCTGCTCTATTTTGTTCATGCTGCATGCGCTGCCGTTCATTGGCACTAGAGGCAACAGAGAAAGATATCAAGCGGCGTCCGCTGCTGCTGCTGCTGCTGCTGCTGTTGCTGCCAGCATGTGGCGTTGCTGCTCCTGCTTCTGCTGCTGATCCATTGGAATCTGCTGCTGAGTTGGTCATTGGCTCAGCAGCAGCAGCAGCAGCAGCAGCAGCAGCAGCAGCGACTTCAGAAGCAGCAGGTGGGCAGCCAGCAGCCTCCCTTGCGTCCTGCTGCATCCTCGTGAATATGCCTGCAGAGGATTTGCGCTGCTTCTGCTGCTGCTGCTGCAGTCGCTGCTGCTGCTGCTGCTGCTGCTGCTGGCTGCGCTGGAAGGGCTTCAGCCCTGATGCCTAGCAGCTGCTGCTGCCTCATGAAGTTTACCAATGCATGCTGTGTTTTTGCTGTCAGGATTGCTGCTCTGCTGCTGCTTTTGCAGTTGCTGCTGCTGCTGCTGTTGCTGCTGCTGCTGTTGTTGTTGCTGCTGCTGCTGCTCGTGCTGCTGCTGTTAAGAAGGAAAGGAGAGGAATTATACAATATATTTGCTGCTTTATTAATCGTATAAAGAAGAAGGAAATTCTTTATGCTGCTCTGCAGTCTATGGAGAGTGCCCGCTGGCTGCTGCTGCCGTTTACGGCCGCTGCTGCTGCTGCTGCTGCTGCTGCTGCTGCTGCTGCTGCTGCTGCTGCATGGATGCTTCGATACGGCTGTGTATCGGCAGCAGCAATTTATTTAATTAATAAAAATAAATTCTTAAGGAAAAAAAAATAATAAAAAAAATAATATTTGCTGCTTACTCTAATGCTTCTGCTGCAGCACTAGCAGCAGCAGCTCCTGCTGCTGCTGCTGCAGCGCCGTATATATATACCGTATCCGCAGCGGCAGCAACAGCAGCAACAGCAGCAGCAGCAGCAGCAGCAGCAGCAGCTGTTGTTGGAGGGCGGCGATGGTGAGACAAGCAAGACACGGGGGGGCCCCTACAAGACAGCAGCAGCAGCAGCAGCAACATTATTATTTTTTTTTATATAAGCAGCAAATAATAATATATTATATTATATTTATTATTTATTTCTTCTTATAATAACTGCAGCAGCAGCAACAGCAGCAGCAGCAACAACTGTAGCAGTAACAAGAACCATAACAACAGCAGCAGCCACAAAAAATTACTACAGCAGCAGCAACAGCAGCCACAACAGCAGCAGCAGCAGCAGCAGCAGCAGCAGCAGCAGGTGTCGGCAGTCATCTCTTTTTATTTTCTTATAATAAATATAATATTAATAATGTCTCGTTTGTTGTATTGTTTGTTTATTTCTTTGCTGCTGCTGCAGCAGCAGCAGCAGCAGCAGCATATGCAGCAAGTTGCTGCCTTCCGTGTCGGTCCCGGTGCCGACTCCTCAGACCTTCTGCGGCTGCTGCACCCCACATCTGCTGCTGCTGCTGCTGCTCCTATAGCGAGTCTGCAGCAGCAGCAGCAGCAGCAGTATCGTCATGCTACTGTGCTACCACATGCAGCAACAAACAACAGCAGCAGCACAACAGCAGCAACAGCAGCAGCAGCAGCAGCAGCAGGAGAAGAAGGAGCTGCTGCTGCTGCTGCTAACGATGGACTGCTGCGCGGACCCTTACCGATTGACCTACGAGGCAAAACTGCATTTGTTGCAGGTAGGCTTACTGCAGCAGCAGCAGCAGCAGCAGCAGCAGCAGCAGCAGCAATAGAAGTAGCTACTGCAGCAACACTATAACCATACACACACACACACACACACACACACACACAGTACCATCAACCAACATTAGCAGCAGCAACAGCAACAACAGCAACAGCAGCAGCAGCAGCAGCAGCAGCAGCAGCAGCAGCAGCAGGAATACCACCAAAGACACAACAACAACCATAACACTTACACCAACCAAAAAACAACCAGCAGCAGCAGCAGCACCGCAGCAGCAGCAGCAGCAGCACTACCACAACCAGAGCAGCAAATAAATAAATAAATAAATAAATATATTTATTTATTTATTTATTTATT